ACCCTCACGGAGAGCCCGCAGAGCATCCCGGGCTGCGGGAGGGACGGAACTTACTTGGGAGTCCTGGCTCGCCGTGAGGGACCCGCGAGTGACAGCGGCGCGCTTTGACCGGACTCGATCTGCATACAATGAAAGGAGGAAAGAAAGGAGAGGGAAAAGGGAAGGGAGAAGGAGAGGGGAGAGGGCAGAGGGGAGGGGAGGAGAGGAGGGCTTTCTCACTACATTATTTTAAGCATCTACTTCTTTCCAGGCTGGAAAACCCTCCCAGCGAGTGAAGCTGCAGCTGCAGCACCCAGGGCTGAGGGGACACCGGGCCAGGCTGCACACACGGCGCAGCTTCACTCTGCTCTCTGCCCGGCTGCCACCTCTACCCACGGAAAGGAGCCCCGTGCATTGCCCCTCTGAATGTTCAGGAGTTCTCTGCAGCGATACTGACTCTCTGACAGCAGCTCCACGTTCCCGGCGGGCCGGCGGCTGTGGATGCCCCAGCACACCCCACATTTCCTGCCCGCCGTGCCCCTGGGGCCGCCCCGTCCCCAGGCAGCTCCGCTCCTCCGAAGCGCTGGGGACAGCCGTGACTCATCTCGCAGCAATTCTGAAACAGGGGGAGAACCTCTCAAGAACTTGATCCCACTGGTCTTTGTGGGCATCTTCTAAGTTTTTTAAGTTCTGTTTTTCAAGTTTACCTCTTAGCAAATAAGTAATCTATGTGCTCCTATTGGGTGGACATTGCAAATAGGAAAATCCACCAGCGTGACTCCACAGTTCCCACCAGCTCCATGGCAGGTCCCAGGCTGTGACAGACTGATCCACCTCGGTGACAGCAGGCCAGGGCCCTCTTGCAGGGACTGTTTGTATCATGCAGTGAGGTTTTATTCCAGGATTCCCACTCCAAAAGCATTCCCACATCACTGACACCCAGCACTGCCCACCCGGCCTTCCCTGGCAGCAGGGATGCTTTGCATCTCCCTTGTGGAGGAAAAAAGGAGCAGAACTGGCACCAGCCTCTCCAGTGCCAACCTCAACATCTATGAGCATCTCAGCATCAAAAATCCAGCAGTGGCAGCAGCAGCCAGCAGCTGAGCTGCCCTCCCCTCCACTCTTACCCCAGTCAGGAAGGCAGGCTGGTTCACGGGCTGGCTCAGCCAGGCATCTGGGAACTACAGAGCACAGTGAGGGCTGCTGCAAACACAATGGGAATCCTCTGGGGAGAAAGGAAAAAAAAAGTATTTTTTCCCAGGAAGTTACAGAAAAAGCTGGAGTAATTTACCACACAGCAACATGAAGTGATTTTAAGGAACACATACACTGACTAGCCAAGTCAAGAGGAAAAACAAAAGTGGGAGATGAGAAAACTAGGAGCCTCATCAAAACATGCTGCATAGATGATAGATTTAGAAATGCCACCTGCCTACATGATGTTTACCAGAGCTTTTTAAAAAATGCTGACACTAGGAATGGAATACTATTCATGTAAGGGCCTCACATCTGCCCTGTACAAGAGGTGGTATTTTCCCACTCCTAGCTGATATTCCATGAAATTTTATGCAGTGCAATTGTCTTTGAACTAGAACAGCAAGTCAGAATCAGCTGCCTGCCATGCTCTGCTGCATCTGCTCCGTGTTGCTCCTTTGCAGGGCAGTGTTTGCTGTGTTTGTGTTTGCTGTGTTGCAGAGGTTGCCTCACTCTTTGGCCCAGATCCTCAAAGCCATCCAAATTACTCTCTCCCACTGAAATCAATGAAAGCTGGAAATCAAGATACTTTTAAGGAGCAGGGATGCAGTTTCTAAATATGATTTTGTTCCTGAATACATTAAACATAGCTGTTGCAGTCAACCCTCTTCAGTGAGCTGCCAGACTGGTTTATTCCAACCATCCCATCCTCAATATATCGCCTTACAAGTTTCCCAAGTCACAAACATTGATCACCATTCCTTTGAGGGACCCCAGAAAGGCATCATTGGGTGCTTCTTTTCCCAGCTGCAACTCTTTGACTTTTTACAGCTAACCAATTTTAAGAGTATTTGATGTAGACTACATAGATTTTCTTTTAAATCAGCGAGTCATAGAAGATCCAAAACAAATGTCCAAGAACTTTCCCAGGACTGGCTCCCTGATCAGCTTCTAGAGCTTCTTAGGAATTACTTTCCTTCTATAAAAGTGTTCTGATTCCAGAAGCACTGGTTCCTTCCCTCACTGGCCATTCCAGTTTGGATGGTATATCAGATCCCCATTGTCACCTATTGATTTTATCTGTGCAGCTGGGAACTCTGCAGGGATCCAAGATGTTAAAATTGATATTAACACCTCCCAGGGCAACGGGGCCAGACCCCTATGGCTTCTGCATGCTCATTTCTCACTTCTGCACAAGTAACTGTGTTTATAATGAGCAGCTGCTGTTTTATGTCCTATTCAGCAGTTGGATAGGATAACTTCCATTACTATAATAAGATCTGAATAGATCTGTTATGTTACCTTTCTTTTGAAGTAAAAAATGAATTGGTTTTCTAGTGGTTCTATGCCACTGTCCCTGTCAAGTATCAGACCATAATTCTTGTGCATATTCCATGTGCACTGCCCTTACTCTGGGTAATTCTACTTACGCCCTCCCTTACCAGTGCCAATGACTGTAATTTGACAGTAAGGAATACAAACAGCTTTTTTTATAATTTCTTTGTTTTTTATAATAAATGCAGGGGTGGCAGCACCACACAGTGCAACTTCCCAGAGTGCAAACAGCCCCACAGCCATGGTGGGGCTGCCACATGTGCAGAGCCAGCTCTGAGCTCAAAGGAGTCCAGGTCTGCAAGGACAGGAATTAAATTTTCTGATTCTCCCGTGTGCAGCCAGGATAGGCTCTCTCATTCCTGGAAAGCAGAGATCAGTGACATCCTGTTCACTGTCTCACTGAACAAGCCAAACTCCTGAGCTCTGGGCAGCTGAAAAGTGGTGATAAGAATGTTTGCACTCCTCAGATTCAGCAACTCAGCTCAAGCAGTAAACTCTAGAAACCTGTGTAGAACAACCCTTGAAATGTTCACCCCAAAAAGGTGAGAGCAAAGTAAATAAAACCCTCAGGCCTATTGAGAACCTCACCCTTCTCTGCTGGCACTGCCTGAGGGACACCTTGGGCACATCAGGGATCCCTCGGAACACAAAACAGACTCACAACCAGACACAGCCTGCCACCCTGGGAGGCAGAAACCATACCCAGGTACTGAGGCTTCATGTGGAGGACTGAAAATGATCAGTTTGCTAGGACAGAATCTGGGAAAATCAATCTTATTTCAAACAGAAAAATTATTTCTGTCTTTACAAAGAGATTAATGATTTATCAGTTTTGAGGCTCTTCCCTATCATGAAATTTTTCTTTCTAACCAGACTGAGTGATTTAATATGTGCAAAATTACATTTAAGGGATGTATATTTTGCCAAGCTGAGTGTTGCATTAGCACACGTGTTCAATGTTGTTAAACAGGACATTTAAAATTGTGTGTTCTGACTTGTACGTATCCCACTCCTACAAATACTGCCTGAATCTCCTCAAAAGCAATGAGACACTTGTGTTAGTCTAAAGGAAGGGGTGAGGGCACAGTTACTTGAGGTCCTTTGGATACAACAGCAAATCCTTCAACATCAAAACCAGATATATAAATACAAATACGAACCTGTATGTGTGTTTGTATATATGTGATTATTTCACACACACTGTTCAACATTAAATATTTGATAGCATTTTTAAAATCAACATTGGGAAAAGCTCAATTTTTCTGAAGAGTGCCTCCTTTAACAAAGTTACACATGCAGAGCTGTGCTGGCAATGCCCATGGCTAAAATCATAATGAGGGACACTCCCGTGTCAGAGACTGAAGCCTTTCTGTTCAATTCCAGCATGGGAGGAGTTCAGCTTTTACCAAAGGCTGAAGGAAAAGAAGCTGAAGTCAAGGTAAGATCTGCCTTCACCATGTCCCAACACAGTCTGAGTCCAGTCTGGGTCAGGAACAAAGGAAGGATTTTCAGTAATTTCATGTCAGGAGTTGACTACTCTCCATAAAAGACACTGCCCAAACAGACTGTGGCTTTATTCCTCTCAATGCTATCCAGCATGACAGACTATGAGATGGAATTCAATCTAAATTTAAGCACTCTCTGTAAACTATTAATAGAAGAAAAACTGGTAGCATGAATCATCATGTGGGAGCTGCAGAGCAACAGCTAAAATATAACTTACCTTTACACAATAAATGAACTGTTGAATTGAAAGGCCCAGCAGAAGTCACTTGATTCTTCTTCACTTGAACTATTCTCATTTTATTCTGAGGAGCAATGAGAGGGCGGCCCCTACTCGACTCCACAAAACACACCTTGTGTACAACCCCATTTTGTCACAACACAAACTGGACACAAAAAGTGGCTGCTGACCCTGCTCCCCACCACTCCCTGCTAGGGAAGAGCGTGTGCTGGAGATGTTGGTGCAAAATGACACAACCTCAGAGGTTTATAGAGCTGGGCTCATGTTTTAGCTCCCATTCCAATGCCAGCTGTAGCTCTGGCCAGGAGCAGAAGGGCACCAAACCTTCTTGGACGTTTTGTCCCTGCCCAGACTGAAGTCCAGCTGCATTAATTTCCCAGAGCAGCCGTTTTGGGGGGATTTTTGGCAGCTCCTGAACTGCAAAGCTGACAAGGCAAAGCTGGGATTTTGTGTGCTATGCCCAGTGCAGGCTGTGCCCTGGTGCAGCCCATGCACTCTGAGTGTGGCCCCACGGAGACTCAGCCTTAACTCAACACAGTGGCATTTTGGTGCTCTGTGGGATATTTATTTTTGAAAAATATGATATTGTCAACAGCTCAGTGAAGTTGTCTCCAGACTGTTATGTCTCCTTCTCAAGTTTCTTTCATTTTTAAGAGCTTAACTTTTAGGCTTCTGGCGTGAGGAAAGAGCCTAAAATGGTTTAAGAAAAGGACATAAACAAGGGAGTGAGCTATGCACAGCACTGGAGAGAAGCACAAATAGTGCCCCACACTATAGAATCAATGCAGATGTCCAAGAGCAAAAATACTGTGCTGAGACACTACTGTGCCCAACCCCATTTTCACAAAGGTTCCAAAGAACTGAAAATCCTCAAGGACAAAGACCATTTAAGGAAAATCGACATCATATTTTTCAAATAAGGCATTAAATATACAGAAATCCAGTCCTACAAAAAGGGCTGAACAATGGTGACACAGAGGAAATTGCAGACAAAGGCTAATAAAAGCCTTAACCTGGATTAGAATTGGTGGCACCACTCCCTCATTTGCTTCTTTAAAAATTCATAGACAATGCTTTTTTCTGAACAAAGACTTGCATGGGAGAAGTTTAAACTCAACTCTTCTGATAGAAATGAAACTAAGAAAAATATTTAATTAGCCATAAATGCTGGACCAGAGACACTAATTATCCAGCCTGCCCAATCAAGGGGCTGGGCTGCAGCACCAAGCAGGAATTCCCAGGGAAGGCACTGGGGCTTCCTCAATGCCAACACAACTTCCTGAGCAAATTCAAAATTCCAAGGAGAATTCACTCAACCTTTAGTAGTGAGGATGAAAAAGAAAACCAGCTTGAGATAGGAGAACATCTCAGCAGGAAAGCCAGTGCTGAACAAACACCACAGACAAAGCACTGAGGAGGGAGCTGAGAGGGCACAGAATCCAGCTCCCTTTTTCTTGGGTTTTAAGTTCTCCCAGGAGCTACTGGCTGTAAATTGCTTCCTACAAGTTTAGAAAGGAGTTAACTTTCAATGATAAGGGTCTCCTCTAAAATAATTGTGTGGTAACAATGCACATCTTGTGAGCTGCTCTGATCTCTGCCCTTTGTAGAATTCTGCAGCAGACATGATTTAATCCAAGTCTCCTCTATCAAAGCAATTGTGAAACCCTTTAGCACAATCCCAGTAGAAGATCTGTATTTCTATCCACAGAATTCAAAAATTTCAGCAGAAAGTCTCTGTTGCTAACCTAGTTCCTCCACAGAATTTAACTGCAGAAAAACCATGACTCCAATACCAGATTCTGTGATTTAACACAATGGAATATTGCTTCTGATGTATTTATTTCACTATTCCATATAGTTGCAGCTTTTCATTACAGTTAAGATCTTAAAAATTAATGAATCAATTTTACTATGTTCAACTTAGACACACTCATAGAGCTGGTTTCATATTTTTAACACAATTTTTTAGTGACAGCTTGGAAGGCAACCCATGAAAATACTCTGGTGAGGGAATATTATTTCAGTGGATATGGGAAAGGAAAGTTGCAGCCCTACAGACTGTGCAGACCCTGCAGTTTGAGCACCCCTCAGGCCTGGCCATGTCCTGCCCCCCAGGTGCCCACTGCACAGGGACCATCCCTCCCATGGAGCTGCCAAGTGCTTCTTGGAGAAAAGAACATCATCTATTTTCTGACATTGTGCTGCAATGCACTTCTGAAATATTTATTTGCAAGAAAAGTATTAAAAACAGGGTATAAATCCATTTTAAGAACGTTTCCTTAAATCAGGCATGTTCTTAAACCACACCCCTCCAGCAGCTGCAGGCACTGCAGGCAGGACTGCAAGGAGTTCTCAGGGAGAATTTCACCTCAAGAAAGGAGAAACAAGGCACTTTCTTGCAGAATAACATCACTGAGACAAAGACTTTTCTGGATTGCTTAACAGTCAGAAAACACCATACAAAGTCTCAAAAAAAAAAAAAAAAGTAAAATTAAAATACCTACACTAGCCAGTGCCTTTCAGAACAGTATTTACAATAATTAGAAGCTCAATCCAAACCTCTGGATCCAATTTGTTCCAGAACACTTGAAACTAAACCAGCAGTTGTTAACAGTTACCATCCAGGAGAATTTGAGACCAAACCAGGTTTAAGGTGTTCCAAGCTTTATTTTCACCTGGAAAAAATTGTGTTTAGGCTTCTGCTTTAAATAATCTGAATTGTTCTAGAGATTAAGCCCCCAACTCCTTTGGACACAGAGAGGGGGTGAGCACACCATTGCCTTACTTGGGTTGGGCTAAGCAACATTAAGTAATTCCAAACCTGCAATGTGTTACAGAAGTTGCCCAAACTGAACATATTCTCTGCAATTTCCTTCTCTAGAACAATACAGGCTAAGCAGATGCCTTTAACATGTCTCTCTTATCTGGGGTATTCACTCTCTTATCACCTAAAACTCTTTGGGGGTAGAAGCTGCTGGTATCATCCCAAGAGAGATATGATTTCCAAAAATATCCTGAGGTTGTGTGCACACACTGCTCACCCCCAGCCCTGCTTCCTGCAACACTCCTGAGCAAACAGCGCCGAGGCAGCCTGAGAACAGCCCCAAGAAAACAAACACACATTCTCCTATTTGCAACCTTTATTTCATGAATAATTAAGAAGAAAACATGGCGACATTGGCAAATTGAAGGCATACATACTAAATACTCATACAGAATACATCATGGAGAAAGTAAAATGCCCAGGTCTCTAGTGGTCCTTGCAAACTGAAAGCATATTGGGTCCTCCAAAAGGTTTAGCTTAACACAGGCTTGCTGACTTCTCATGTTCCAATCGTGGCCAACTTGTGTCTTTCAAACCACAAATACAATTGGAACACTCAGATTTTCCTCAGAGCTGCATTTCTCAGCTCCAACCAGAAGCAAACAACGTGTTTTTAACTCCTTGCCATTTAAATATCTACACTAATACACCAGCCTAAGTATTCAAGACATAAGCACTTGTTGAAACACGTTCCATGTTATCAGAACCTGCAGGAGCACCTATCTGCACACACATTTACACATGTGGGTACATCTGTACATGGATGCAAAGCCTCTCTCTATGTAAGATATGTGTAAACTATTCAAAAGGGCTCTGGAAAAAAAAGCAAAGTACTTGCATTTGTCTGGAGGAATTTCTAAACCCATCCACAGACTGACACACAGCAGCTGTGTTCCAGGGAAGAGTAAAACCAATACAAATCAGAAAAGCTGGAAGGATGAGAAGAGGTTTTAGAATCACTGGGTTTTAGATCATCTTTAAAGGCCATGGAAAGTGAGCTTCAAATTAGCTATTTAGGAGATACCATTACTGGCTGCAGTGTCATCTCAAACAAGGTTAGTCCTTATCCAGTATAGTGCTGTGAAGTCAGACTGAGGCATCAATAAATTCTGTTTTTCCACCAAGTCCAAAATTCCTCACACTTCTGCCAGTTCTGCCTCACACCTGAACAGGAAGCACCCTCCAGGAGGAGGAGGGTACCAATTAATGCCCTTCTGGGTTTGATCAGGGCAGTTGTCCAGCAGGAAATGGGATCACTGATTAACTTCAGATACTCTGAACAACTCCTGATCATTACTGACCTAAAGTGAACTTACAGTCTGGAGGCAAACTACTCTATGCCTTGTTTAGTAGTGTATACTTTCTTCCCATTAGAGAATATACAGAAAAAACACATTTCTGTTCAAAAAAACCCTTCAGATACATATAAAAGTGCTACTTATAGACAGAAAAATTAACCTTACAATACACATAAAACCAAACGTTTCTATCAAACTGAAATGTTGTAAGTTACAAGGATTAATTACTTGAGAATGATACATGTATTTGTGCCCTCCTCGATGAACTGATTTCCAAGTAACCATCCTAAAATGAACAAATGCAATAATTGGAAACCATTAAAAGCCTCCAGAGAAATTTCAACAATGGAATAAAAAAAAAAAAATTAAAAAAAAAAGAAAAAAAAAAAGGAGCCCCTTTTTCCTCATTTGTTGAAAGAGCTCAGAATCAAAAATGGACAATTCCATTATTGCAAGTGCAGTCCACAGAACAGGTCAGTTGATGAACTGTGGAACTGGGACTGCCAATGGCTCCTGTGCAGCAGGAAATGTCTGCTGGGCTCCCTCACCGCCACATAAATACATCAGCTACATGCAATTAAAATCATACATGGATCACTAGGTGAAAATGCACATCACACATTCCTGCGCTGGGGTTCCAAGCCTTGACTTCCCCAAGCAACTTCCTCATCTTCTAGAACTATGCAAAATACAAAAGCCTTAGAAAAGTGCAACAAAACTAGCTTTATGACATTTTTCTTTCCATTTCCATAAATACAATCTCATAAAAATATTATTAAACAGAAGCATACTTCCCAGTGGAGAACTAACAGGCCACATTTCAGCTTTCAGTAAATGATTTTGTCTAAACTGAAAACCCCTGAAAATAGGGGATTCAAATGAAACCAGCTTAATTGCATCAGGCTGCTGTGATATTGTGCCAAAGTTTACCCTGCTGCTCTGCATCCCCAGGTGCTGCTGGGACTGGTGGGAAGGAAGCCCACATGCAGCTCTGGGACAGGCAGTGGCCTTGGGGTAAGGAAGATTCCAAGCAAAAGCTAATGTCACTTGGAAGGAAGTCATCTGGGATCCATAGGTGTTACTAAAGCTTCATTGGGAGGAAATAATTCTAATATCCCAGAATGAATTAACTCAGGAGATCAGGACAGTGGCTTTGTCAAACCAAGCTCAAGGGCGCTGCATCCAAACAACTTTAGGCAAGTGTAGCAAAAACACAAAGAAAAAATATTTGTATCAATTAACAGAAATCAGATCTGTACAAACCTCAACCTTTAAAGTTATTTAGCATTAATTACCCACAGCATACTTGCTACATATTCCAGATGCTGAACATCTTGGGTTAGATAATTATAGAGTGTCCTACAAGGCTGACTGTGAAATCAGGGAGCACAACAGAAGAACCTTAGATGAAGGAGGGACACAGCAAGCCACACAGTAATTTAAAACCCATCCAGCCACTCTCCTGTGAAAGCAGGAACACTATTAAAAATACCTTTCTAAATAGGGACAATTGAATGTATTAAGGGCTGTCTGTGTTTTGCCAGTCCACACACACTAACTTGGCAAAGCACAGTGCCATGTCCAGCACTCCTGGCTGACAAAGATATTAAATAGCCCTTCTCACCAAATAATGCCTCAAACTGGTTAATATTAGACTAAATAAAGGATACACTAATGGCAGCTTAAGGAAGGAGTGGCAGAAATAGAGCTCACAGAACATAAAAAGCAAACAGAAATAAATATTTACCAAGTCTAGGAAAGGACCACAAACAAACCATACAGTTAACTCAGTCCATCCATGAACATGGCTATTTTAAGGTTCTCTTTCTACACCATCTCAGCACAACTCACAGTAGGCAGAAAGCAGCATGAAGATGGATTCCTTCCAGAAGAATTTTGCCCCTAAGGAGCTCCTGCCTGGGGCTGTGTTAGCTGCAAGAGGCAAACAAGAAGTGAAGTCCCCACAGGAGTCACAGTTACACAGTTTAAGGGTGCAACTTTCACTTCAGCCTTTGGAAGGAACTGTCACACACCACCTGAACCCCAGGCAGTGTCCCCAGAGCAGGCACAGGCAGGAAGAAAAACACCCACAAGTTCTCCAAATCTCCAGCTTCCCAAATAATCTGGGTTAAAACTAGGCTGGAATAAAAACTGTGCCCTGGGCCAAATCTGTGCAGAAACAGAACTGAGTGAAAGTAATCTGGTGATGCAAAAGAACCCAAAAGTCTGGAGTGTTCAGACTGAAAAAAGCTAAAACTTAACAGTGAGATGAGGAAGAGAAATGAGACTCCATGCCCAGGGCAGAGCCTCAGCTCACAGCACTGCACCATGGCAGGAGGGCTCCTGCTCATTTCTGCTCATGCACCTGAAACCTGAGCATCCCCTCTGCCAGGACAGGAACTGGAGTCTACACCAATAAATTAAAACAGAGTTCATTCAGCTCTGGCAAATTAAGAGCCTTCTAAGACACAATGATGGACATTACAGAAAAACACAAACAGTGGAAATATTTCATAAAATTGGAGACTAAAAATTATCAGAATCACTACACGGAACTCAAAGAATATATTCTATGCAAAATAGACAAAAACCTACCTTTAAATTGGAACATGTCACAATTATATACTATATTCTGGAGAAACTATCCACAAACACAAATTTAAAAGTGGAAATTTCATTTTTTCAGTTTTTCAGAGGCATGGGAATAAGGGCCACAGATTCACATTGGAGATACTAAATTAGTGTTTCTATTGAAACAAACAGCCAAATCAAACTGGGTTAAACAAAACCAACTGAAGCCCAAACCCAGTGTAACACCCATGGAAGTGTTTCCATGGCCAGGATGCAGAGGATGAGCAGCTGTACCTGCACCAGGTGTCCCACAGCTCCATCCTGCTGCCCACCCTGGCCAGGAGTAACCCTGATGTTCCACAGCACAGGCTTTTGCAAGGCACATAGAAAATAGAAATGGATGACAACATATTTTCAGTACATTCAGAAATACCTTCTGGGTTAAAAGGGAAATAAGTCAGCATAAACTTGCACTTGACAAGAACAGAAAAGCAGGCTGTTTGAGGATTAACTATGAACAGAAACAAAACACAACAGTGTATTTATTCCACATCCAGAAGGGCTACTGCTGTTTTTCCTCATGAGCAACTGAAAGTGGTTTGAACCTTCAGGAAGAGCCACACTGTGGAGTGCAGCTTTGTGTTTGCTTTGCTCTCCCATTGCTTCATTCCTCCCATGGGCAGCCCCTGACACAAAGGCTCAGACACATCAGGACACAGAAACCTCTTCTGAAGCCCAGGGCTCCTGGGCTGGGTTCACAGAGTTTTATCACAGCAAGAAGAAGTTGACAGAGCTCTGAAGTTCATAACGAGATCCCTATTACAATTACTGCTAGCTTTTCTCTCTCTTCCTCTCTGAAGACCAGCAGTTCATGTTTCAACAGAAGGGATCTGCCAAACATGATTTCTCCTTTGACAAGTGGTGACACTCTCTGGGTTATTGCAGTTAAGGACTGATAACATTCCAGGTAAATGAAGGTGACCATTGCACAGAAAAAAAATCAGCTCAAAGCTTGAACTACCTCACCAAAACGGGTGATGAGTGAATTTAGATCAAGAAATGCTATCCTTTTCATTAGAAAAATATTATTTTTTAACTCTAAGGCAATGAATAAGACAATCATAGATAAGGATATCAGTTCAGAGGATAAACAGAAGGGATTTAAAACACTGATTGGCAAAATGTGGAATTCAATAACAGGAGATAGAAAGCAAGACAGCACTAATGTGTATTTCCACTAAGACTATTCTTATTGAAACTAATGAAGTAAAAAAAAAATTGAAGAAATATAGAGGAGAGGAAAATGCATTTCAGACTTTTATTAAAATCTATTAATGAAGATCTTTCACTTGAAACCTCGCTTGTAACAATTGTCTTTAGATTATGCTGGCTCTTCAAATGCACCAGTTAATAATCTGAGGGTCTCTACTTCTAGTTCTAAAGAGCTGCAAGAATGTTTGAGACACCACTGCTCTGCAAACTTCTCCAAAGGCCCTCAGCACAGCTTAAATAGCTATTTTGCAAAGTTCCATAATTCTCACAGGCACATATCAGTGTAAGTGTGTACTGTTATACAATGCTAGAGACATGCTGAATTATTACTCTTCACATGGGCTATGTTCTTCAGATGATGGGGTTTTGGATTTGGCAATACTTTTGAGTTAAATCTGTGCTTTTTTACCATGAAGAAGTTTTACAGATGCAAGCACAGTTGCATTCACTGGGTTAACATCTATGACATTCAAACTGTCCTTAACAGTCGTAAGAGCACCATAGAACAGATTTATTTTCTTTACAATGGGGTTACTGCTGAAAGAGCCTGTGCTTATAAATAGCAGCTGTTACAGAACTCACTGCTCACGTTGGCTTCTGCTTAATATTAATGAGATGTTCCATGGCTGAACTGCTGGTAAGTGCTCAGAAAAGCAAGAGGCAGAAGCAATGACAGAGTGAAGTCTCCCCTGGACTTGACAAACAAGATTACAACAAACAGCTCGTGACAAAGGGAGCCACGAACATTCCACAGCAGGCCCTCAAGTGCCAGCACCTATCAACTCTATGATAGCTAAGGCACTTAAACTCTTTTGCCCAAGAGCTGCTAAATGAATGCAGGTACATTTTCAGAAAGAAAAAGAAGTTGAGCAGACTAAAGTTTCTCAATTCCTTCCTTGTGACAGTGAGTCATTTCCACGCAGTATTTGAGACGGCTGGGTGGACACACATTACATCAGTTCCTCCACAGTCCTTCCCAGAGAACATCTCACCTCCTGTCACTCAGATGAGCATGTGCAAGACCAAGGAAAAACACACAGGAAACATGGCAAAGTTGGATTTTGAGACAAACTACTTCATTATTACACCTTATGGAGAGTATCTTCTCTGCAGAGGAAATGCTGTCCCAGTTGCACAGTTCCAGCACAGCCATCCATGATCTGTGCTCGTATTGCTGCAGGGGAAAGCAGCACAGGCAGAGCAGGGAGAGAGCAAGGAACAAGCCAGACAGGGGGTGATCATTGATTCATTGCTGTTAGAGTGGAAGCACAGGGACTTTGCACAGATTCCTTGTAGTGTACCCTGAAAGCCAGGAGCTGCATGTGCTAGTCTCTACAATCCATAAGATAAAGATGAAAGCCACATCACTGTGACAGAGGTAGGCTTATAATGAAGCTTTAGGATGAAGACTTCTTCTGTGCCAGATTTTTCGAGGTATCAAGAGCACTTTTCCCCTCAATTTGTCATTATGGAATCAAAGCTTGTTTTCCTAGAATATTGTGCACATTTTAAAGGATGGAAAATAGCTGTATAGGCACTAACTAAGTTACCATTAAGAACTCTACTGTATGGGGCTGCCCATATGCTGTGGGTAGAATATTCAGAGTCTGTGAAATCAGGATGCTACAGAAAGTTCAGTGATATGATGCCATGTTATCCTTTTCCTTCTCAAAGCTTTATCTGTACATTCAGTCTCCTATATGCCAGAGGAAGCATTCATCTCTCTCCCAGCAAAGAAAGTTTCAGGAAGTCTGACTGGAAAGGCAGCACAGAAGTAGTTCAGGCTCTTTAGGCTACATAATTAATCTGAATAGCTTAATAACTTGGGTTATTCCAAGCACTGTGGCAACAAGTTCTTACTTATAAACAGTTGTTCCCATGCTTAGTAGCTGAAGCAATCCATGATAGTGTCACTGAAGTTTGAGGGGACTCAAATGTTGCCAGTTTTGAGTGAAATGGGGATTAGCATTTCAGTAAGATTTCCATCTGGTAGCTCACGTTGCTTGTATCCCATGGATGTGCTGAACGATTGGGGTTCAGGTTTCAAAGTATTTGTAAATTGCTGTAACATACAGCATGACATTCTGCCAGTCGGGACGCTCCGTTCGCACCATTTCATTGATGTCCTGTCACAGAAAACACATCGGTCAAAAGCAGCAGTGGAAACCCTGAGAGCAGTGTGGCACTGCTTTCACGCATTCCTGCCCATGGGAAATCTGTCAAGTTTCCACAATTTAAGGCACTGATGAAGAAAGCTCTGTTTTCTTCCATATATCTTCGTATTACAAACTGCAATGAATAGCATATCTGCAGACAGCTCTTTTGTTGACTTAAGATTGAAATGCCTGATGCTGTGCATGCTCAAGCTGTGCCCCACTGAGCACAGCTGGTACAACAGTCACACTTTAGTGTTCACAGAACCCTGCACGAGCCCTGCAAATCAACACAACCCACCCAGGAGCTGTGAGCCACAGAATCAAGGCCCAGCTATTAATTAAAGTTCAAAATTCCCATGAGGTTAAGCACCAATAAATAACTGACTCTCATCTACCCTCTTCAGCACATCTACAAAGCAAAGCAGAGTGATGCAGTTCCTAGGAATTTCTGTTTACTCTGTCTGAAAGCTTTGGATGCAGGAATCTCCAGAAGCTGTGAGTTCTTTTAGCTGAACATCTTCAGAGAATGAGTAACTTCTACTTGCATTCCACTCCTGTTTACACACAGCAGGTTTCACACCCTTCTTAGCCCCTCACTCATGTAATATGGATGAGAAAAAATGCACAAACCTCCCCATCACACACAGCGTGCATGCAGGTATGCAAACAGCTGCTAACTTCTTCAGATGGATGCAATTTGCACTTAGACTGAATTCCGTTCCACCTGCCTGTTTGGAGTCTCTCTAATGAAGTACATCACAAAAAGGAAGGGCAGACAGCAACCATTTGGACTAAGGCTGAGTTATGCAAGAATTTCTGTAGTTATTTTCCACTATCTCATTCTTACATCAGCACTTGGTGAAAAACTTCCACATCTCAAGTCAGTGCCAAAGTCCAAGTAGGAAAGCCCAGGAGCTGCACTGCCATTGTCAGCAAACACAATGCTGGGGGGTAAAAGCTCTGATAAGGATCAAGGAAAGTGTTATTTTTAAAAACTCTGTTGTACTGTTAGTTGCTAACTATGGCAGCTTTGTTAGAACTTAGGTTGCAAAAGTATCACTTAAATCTCATTTCTGATAATGGCCATTTCAGCTGAGTTTTTGTGATCACTCACAAGGGTTTGGATACTCCCAACTCCACACCTTCAGAAATACTCCTGTTCTAGTAAACACTCTACTGCTGAAAACTAATTCTTTTATTGTGACATTTGTGTAAGACAACTTTTAAACCATCACTGAAAAAACCTTACAACTATTTTCAATGATGACAAAAGTCTAACCTTAAGAGGCAAATCTCAACTCACACTACACTGAGAAAAAGGAACAAATTACATTGCTTGATTTGTAGCTCCAGAGTTCAAAAAATCCTGAATAATTTAGAAGTAGGTCAGAGACAGGACAGATTTAATGGATTATTGAAATCTTACTCTCAAATTATTCTCAAAAAAATCCACTGCTGTCATTAATATTTATTTTCATATTGGGAGCTAAGTGTTGGTGAACCTTCCTTTTAATGCTTAACCAGTCATTATTTAGTGCAATAACCTCTAGCTGAGCTCATCTGCTGCTATTTTTAAGTATAAACATCCAGATCTTTTCAAACTACAAAATGGAGTTATTTGGATTTTATAAGTGGGTCATAATTAATTCAATATACATTTAAATCTTACCAGAGTAGATTTGATGCCAACACTTTCAGCTGCCTGAAAAGCCAAAGTGAAATTTCTTCTCTGCATGAGACATAAAAACATGTTAGAAAACAAGGAAATACTATTTCAAACACAACAAAATGGTCTTAAGAATGTTCATAATAATGCTACTACTTAAACTTCAAATGGAGTATATAATTAGACTTCAGTAATTTTAAAGAGCCATAGGAATGACTGTGTTTTAATATCATCCAAAAATTCATAAAAAAATGTTATTGCCTGTTCAGAAGATAATGCTGAATATCATTGTCAGTGAAGAACAGCTGAGTTATAAAATGCTAAAGAAGAGATTATTTATTCTCTGAAAAGAATAAATAAATAAAATATCTTCATGCATTAATGAAATAATATTTTGTTTTTAGGATCTATTATCATTGACTGTACACCCTGGGCTAATCAGTAGGTAGGAACTGTGGCAGACCAGAACACAAAGAGATTTATGGAAATCCTAGTAACACTGGAGTTTTCAGAACTCAGATTAGTTCACAGGTCTTTATTAACTCATGTTAACCAAAGCACTGCAGTCCTGGGAATGGGATTTTGAATGCCTTACCTTGTCCTGGCTGTTCAGCTCTTGATAGGGAATATGGGCAGGGAGGTAAGTGTGGAGAACTGCACAGAAAGCCAGGCCATCATTCCAGCTGCTGCTGAAGTTTGTGATGTCAATATTCTTGAAGGAAAACAAAAATAGAAGCAATATTACAATTGTAATCTAACAATTATTACATGCTACCAATTGATCAATACTTCTTTTCAATACCTTCAAAGAAATTGGCACAGAAAGTGGACAGCACAGTACCAAAGTTCTGTGGTAAGAACTGCACTACTAACAGAGGAAAACAAAATAATGTAGTGGTAAGAAAGTCAGTTATTTTGTGTATTAATTTCTGGTAAGTGTAAGTCCTCCCTCAAAAAAAAAGTGCAAAATGTGTGCTTGAGTGTGTGTCAAAAGGTGTAAAATGTTGTGCTAGAGAAAGTAA